TTGCAATAGCCAATAGTAAACTAGCATTGTACCCGCCCTCTTTTGCAGTTCCCCACCAGGTCCACCAGCAGAGGGCGGGAAGAATGCTAGTTTACTATTGGCTATTGCAAATTGAAATAGCCAATAGAAAACTCTCAATGCTTTTGAATGGGAATTTTTTTTTTCTCTATTCTGACATCGCTCGTGCCAAAATGAAGAAAAAAAGACACAGCGGGGTTTCTCTCCTTGGCGGTCGGGAGCGGGGGGCTCCCGGGGCGCCAGGGAGAGTTTTTAAATTTTTTTAACTTTTTTTTTTTTTACAGCAGCAGAGCCGCCGGACAATAGGAAACTATTGGGCGGAGCTAGCTGTCACTGCTAGCTCTGCACAATCGTTTTCTATTTACTTTTTTCTACTTTTTTCACTCTTTTTCTGTTCTGCTCGGTGCCTCTGAGGGACCGAGCAGAACAGCCGAGCCAAATGCCGCTCGGCGGCATTCGGCTATTCTCTCACTGCTGTTCGGGATCTTTCAGAATAGCCCGAACAGCAGTGTGAAGCCTGCCAGAGGTTACCGATCCAGATGTTGGATCGGCTGAGTCGAACTCCTTCTGCACTTCGGGTCAGCCGAACATGCTGAGCATGTTCGGCTGATCCGAAGCCACACGAAGCAAGCCAATGTACGGCTGATTTCAGCCGATATACGGCTGAAATCAGCCGTACCAGCCTGAAGTGAATAGGCGAACAGTGTTCGGCTCACTTCACTTCTGATCGGTCATTCACTCGGCTGCCCTCGGCGGCTTTGTGAATAGACCCCATAATAGTTGATGTTGTGAAATTGACCTTAAAGTGGACTTTTACCCCCTTTGACAAAAAATCTCATCAGTATACAGCTCTGCATGCTGATATGAAATCATCTTACATTCATTAGCTAAACAAACATATTTTTATTTTACTTTCAATTTTTTTTTCCACTTCCTAGTCCACTTTGACACAAATTATGTAATTGTGTCCAAGTATTGTCTCTTGGGAAGGTTACATCAGCAGAGCATTGCTGGGAAATCTCACCTGCAATCTCACGTGATATCAGGGAAAGGCATTTTCCTCCCCTGAGATGATGTGCATGGTCACATGTCCTAGTCACATGTGCCATTGTTCCAGAAAGTAAAGGGGATCTAGAAATCTGCCCTTAGTTAAAATGGCCACTGTCAGAAGACTGGGGAAGAAAAGAAAAATAAGTTATGCAAAGAATACAAAGCCGGCAATTATCTACAAATATGTGTTTGTAGATTGTCATTACTAAACATTTCTAAAGGTGCCTTTGTTGTTATTTTGAAGATATGGGGAAAGTTCCTCTTTAATAGCAAGGACAACAGATTACATATATATTGCAATGCTTGCATGCACAGAGGAGTGACATAACGCATGTGCTCTTCTGTCCTATCAGGGCTGAGTCAGACCACACCATCTGTCCAGCTCAACTACATACAGGGTGTTTCCAAGCTTTGCAAACTCTGTCTCATAGATGCACTTGGCGTGTAAAGGAAATCTTTCCTGATGGAAATGAAAGCAACATGTCGGGTGCTATTGTTGACTTTCACTCTGTAAATGCTAGTTTCCTGGCTGTCATACTGACTCTCTTGCTTCAATACTTTAAGTGACCCAGATCAAATATATAGATAAGGATTTCTGACTTTGCACCGACTTTCTTAACCTGCATACTTGTTTCTGGTCAGTAATTCAGAAAATATTAAAGACAGTAAGTCAGCAAGGCAGCCAGATAAATTGCATTTTTAGAGGCAGGTCAGCAATGGCAGTCCTCCTATATTAAAAAACAATAGTCCGCAGTTTAAGATGCAAAATACCCACAATGTTCTTGGTAGCCAGAGACCATATGGTCCAGGTTGCTAAGCTGTAGGTCACATGAGGAGGCTTGGGAGGAGCAATAATAATGGCAAGTGAGGTTTTTTTTTAAATTATTATTATTTCAAAATAACAAGGCGATGTGGTGACATGGGCCCTTCTAATTTCTCTAAAGTATGAATTTTAAAGTGAGCCTGTGACAAGATCATGCACACTAAAGTATTTACATATTCCAGTCTAGCAGTAGAAGTACTTTAAAACAAGCCCACATTAACTTCGGTATCTATAGGCATGTGGTAAAATACATTTTAAAGTTCACAACACAAACATTGAAATCTTCGGGGTTTTTTTTTCTATAAGACCAATCTTGGCAGCCGCCAGCCTTCTATTGTGGACACAGAGCAGACTTTTCTGTTATAAACTGATCAAAACCTGACTTTAGATCTTTGAGGATCTTTGAGAATGGAGTCCACAATATAGCTTGTTATAAAGCTTTTACTGCTTGTTAAGGATAGTTCAATGTTCATAGTCTGGACGTGGCCAGGGCTGGATTTACTCTCTCTGCCGCCCTAATGCCAGGTTCCTCAATGCGCCCCACTGTAGCGTCGGGAGATAGGAATTCCACACCCCTGCTGCCCCTCTACTCCCTGCTGCCCCGAGGCCGGGCCTCAGTTGGCATTGTGGGAAATCTGGCCCTGGGCGTGGGTGCACTTTAATGTTAGGTCCATGTTAAGGAAACTGTTATCTGGTATGTTTACTAAGTTCCCAGGTTTTAAATATTGTGGTCTCGATAAGCATTACGTACTGAAGGCAGTAGTTGTCTAGCTGTGTAAAATTGATCCTACCCCTTGAGGTAGAGTGATGGGATCCCATCCTGGTTACTGAGAGTTAATATATGATAAACAGCATTGTTCCTTGCTTATATGAATTATCTTTTGTGACTGTAAGGATCATCTCTTACCCTCTTATCTGAGTGGGTACATATGCCAATATTCTTGTTTCACCTAATACAATGAAAGCTGGTTCACCACTGTTTTCTGTGTCCTAACTTGTGTTCTCTTTCCACAGAATGCTTCCAGCTTGTCTCACGACCATGTTTCTGAGTTCACGCCTCTAGCGTCCATGCAGAGCCCAAACTACCAAAGCAACGATTTCAACAGTGCTGCAGCCAGCAGGTCTAATAATTTTTCTAAAAAAGCGATTCTTACTCACTGGCAAAGCAATGATTATTTCCACCTTCCATCCCTTTTTGGCTATTCCAATACCCGCTATAGCTCCAGTACGAGCTCATACCTCAGCCGGTCAGGGTTGGAAACATCTGTGTGACAGATCACCACTGCAGGCCTTTATGAACTCTCTTATTTTACTTTATAAGTTGGGAAATGCAGCAAAATGATTGTTGTAAATACAATAGCCTCTTGGATGCCGACCACCACTGTTAAACATTAGAAGAGATTGCTTCTTTCTAGGCCTGGGAGGCTTTTGGTTTATTTTTTTAACCACTGCAGCAAAGAACAATCTTCACAGTCTGGTACTGTGTGACTGAGAGCTCTATAAATTTTCCTTGTTACCTGTTCAGAGATTTAGGAGGGTTTATTAGTCACGTCTGCTTTAGTTGTTTTTATACTACTGAACTGTGTGCGAATGATTTCTATTATATGTTAAAGTGAAAAGGTAGCTGGTGGGTACAACATAATCTACTGTCTGACTCAAAATCTTGTTCTTTTTTTCCTCCTCTTGACGGTACCAAAAGAACGAGCTGCTGTTTCCCCTGTGTTCATTTCTTTTAAAGAAACTCTGTCTAACAGTCATATCATTGTAAGTTGCCAAATATGTTCATGTATTAGTCGTGTTCCTCCTCCCATTAGTTCCTCTCTGGACTACTATATGTGCTCATGTGTTGTGTGGCATACTAAAATTGAAGTTGATTTATTAGAACTGGAGTGTTGAGTAAAAAGGACTGGTACTTAGTTTTTATCACAATAAAACTGGTGTCCATAGCACATCCAAGCAATTTGTTACCTCTAAAATAGTCATCTTTTTGTTTCAACCCAAAAATGTATCTTATGATAAAGTAGTGCTAACTTTCTCCTTAATATAACCTTTGGTTCCTCAGAATAAACTCAAAATGTAAATCGTAACCTCTACCGTAGCCTGATCCTAAACCTGAACCTACTCCTAAAACCAACTGTTAGCCTCATTCCCATCCTGGAGGTACTTCTAAACAAGCCCTACGCACAATTGAGCCTACAGTTTAAATAAGCTATTACATTCCAGGTATATCAAAATTAATGGTGTTCAAAATCTTAGTTTGTTTTCTTCCTAAAGCAGCTCTAGCCTGAGAAGACAAGCCTGTCCCCTGCCTGCAGCTGCAGAGTGGGGCCCTTTCTCTATATGTAAGCAGTGGTTCATTGCAGAGGTCCAACACCCCCCCAATGAGTCAGACATATGTCTGTAATCAGCAAAGCTCATGCTTTCTGTTGTTTGGAGAACTTTGGCTCTCACTTGGCATGGGGTGTGTCAGACCTTAGCAGAGGGACCACTGCTTCCACACACAGTAAGGGTCCTTCTATTCAGATGCTGGCAGGGGACAGGCTTTTCTTCTCTGACAATAGCTGCTTTTCCAAGAAAAACAGCTGTAAGACATTAAACTGGCTTTCTCATGCAACTGGAATGTATTTAGCTGATTTAAACGTAAAATTCAATTGTGCTTTAAACAGAATCTTACCTCTAACTCTATTATCATTCTGTTTATTTTTTATACAGATGGCAATAAATGCTGAAGGGTTTCTAACTTCACCTACTGTACAAAAAATATGCATTTCTGCCAGTGTTGTAGTTGGAGATTTTCCCTCACATCTGTCTAGGGAACCCATTTTCACAAGGACAGTAAGTGAGGCGAAAAGACCATACGCTTGGCTCGTACAGTTACATTGTCCTGACATGCAGCAATGCATGTTATGTTCGTTGGTGCGCTGTGGTGCCATTAATTTTTAATGACACCCCAGTGTACTTTTCTAACATACCTGCAGTGCAGCGCACTACATTGCATGGAAACACACACACACTGTGTTGCTAGAAATAGTGCATGTACCTTATTTGGTGCATTAGGAAGCTCATATAAATGACACAACACACGTTAACATGCAGTATAATGCACGTTAATCTACTGCAATTTTGTAAATAGTCCCTTACAGAGCCCTAGACAACCAGTCTATCCAAAATGCAAATATAGTTTTGGGGTAGATACACACATTAAAAAAATTTTCCTGCCGAAATGAGATTCACAAAACACGCAGCACAAATGTTACACCCACAAAATAATATTCGGCCTCTTCTAGAGGAGGAACTTCCTAAACGTGGTCCCTCTCACAAAACACTCAGCCATGCAGTGCTGGGTCTATCTGCTGGGGATGTGTCCTAAATAATTTACAGACTAGCAATACTTCATTAAAAACTAAATATATCTTAACTCTTCTTTTCTCCAGGTCTTATAAATCACCCCCGATGCTTTTTCCTAGCAATGCTTTATCTATAAGTGCCGTTACCACCGCAGGAAAGAAACTCATGGGACAAGACTGTTTTAGAAAACTGCATACTGTATGTTAACAGAAAACTGTCCACAGTCAAAGTCCATTTTAAATGTATAAAAGTTTATTATAGTGTTCCTAGTGTTATGCTTTGTGCTTTGGTTTACATGTTGCTATTCTCTAATGTTACTGATTCTGCTTAACATGTTTAGCATTAGCTGCGGTCACAATTGTGCATTACAGATGCAATGCAGTTTAGCCAACATAAAACACAAATATGAGTCTCATCATAAGAAGACACCACAAGAAAAGCTTTAATATTTCCTGGAGCATTTGCTGACATTATTTCTCAGTGAACACTCAAAATAGTTGTATTTCTATATCACTGAGTTTTAATACAGTCATGGTATACTGTGATAAAACCAGAAAAACCTATTGATTGCCCAATGGCATATATTGTAAGTTACTTACAAATCTGAAGTACAAATTTACAAAATTTTGAGCAGCTGTGCATGGCAACCAATCAGGTTCTCTCTTTAGTTTAAAGGAGAACTATGAGGTGAGTGATTTTCACTCATCCTCATAGTTCTAGCCGACCTGTGACAATGAAACTGTCACAGGTCGGCTCAGTAGATCGGGAAGTGAGCGAACACATACCGGCGTTCGCTCACCTCTAGATCCTGTCACTGCAGAGAGCCGTGATAGGGGAGTGACTGGATTCCCCCCTCCCCTGTCCAATCCTCCAGCGCTGACTGGCAGATCGGATGGGGGAGGGGCGGGTACAGCTGGCTCTGCCTCTATATAGGCAGAGCCAGCTGTCACTCACGCAGCTGGGCGGATCCAGACATAATTGTCGGGATCCGTTTCAGCTGCGGTGTCTCAGTATACCACAAGCTGTAGCTCGCGGTATACTGAGCTTTGGGTGCAGGGAGGCCGCTAGTTTGTGTCCTCACGTTACTCTTAGGAGGACTATGGGGAAAAGCCCTAACCCCATAGTTCTCATTTAAGATTTGAAAATGAAAGAGAGAAGCTGATTGATTGCCATACACAGCTGCTCCAGATTTTGTCTGTTCCAGTTTTGATAAATTCCCCTCAATATTTTTCCTAAATCCAAGGTTGGTCTAAGGATTTTACTGAGCCGCATCTCATTCAATAATTAGCTCTTGTAAATCATTTTACTGGAATGAACTTTCTACAGTATGCAGAGTTTCTTAATGACCTACTTCTGCTCAGTGGTATGTCACAGGTATAGTATTCGGTTGTTAAAAGACAAGACAAATGTCATCACATCAGCAGAAATATTAGCCATGTATGGCCAGCATTAGAAAATACAAATATGCAGCAATTAGATACGGCATTATTCTACCGCTCTAGAGGAATGTCTCCGCTGCTTTCCCCAGTAGTAGGAAGAACCACTTTCGTGTAGTTTACAAAATCCTAATCTGTAGTAACAGGACACTAGACTTTATTTATTGCTCCCCTTACTTCCTTGCTATTTTACTTCCTTTGCACATAAATGACCTTTATTTACCTACCAACAACAGTTATAGACTTCCTACTTGTTGAAAATGATTTTTGTCTGCGCATACCATGAGATATTTATTCACTCCCTACATTTTATTTTGTTCAAGAATTTGATTTTTAATGTTGTTATTATTAAAGAAATATGAAATGCCTGTTAAAGCCCTGTTAGGCTTCTTCAATCCCTAGCAGAAGAAACAAAGTGCAGTATCTCATGGCAACCTGTCATAATTCACTCTACTAAAGCTAATCCAATACAAGATGGATTTTGATTGGTTACTATAAGAACTGGAATTTGCACTTTTTCTCCTTGCACTGTTCTGCTGGATCAGTTATTTATAGATAACATGCTCACTTTACATACTATGTTATAACTTTAGAAAGCTTACATGTTTTTTCTGTGAATCAAACTCGCTTGTCATGATGTCTCATACCTCTAATTCCCAGGGCCCATATAAAAGAAAGTGTGTTTTTTGTGTTTGGGGTTTTTTTTTTTATCCCATGTGTAGCCACTTTCTCTCAGCATTTCTTAGCTAAATACATCTCAAGCTGGAACATAAGCCAAGTATCCATGATACAAAGGAACTGTTTAATGCTTTGATTGCTGAAGCAGCACTGTTAATCGGCATCAAGCGTAGGACTTGGGCACAAGCTCATAGTAGAAGAGGGCATCATAATGGACTGCGTTAGCTGCTCTCCTTTTGCAAGCAAAGTTGTAAAAGTGTTTATTTCATTGTACTTGGCAATCCTGAAAGCTCCTCATTTTAAAAAAATATCTTATTTTCAAGTAGCAGTATAATATTACATCCAAATATCAAAATGCACAAGAAGTTGAAAACAATTTAATAGGACTTTTGTGGTACCACAAGGATTGACGTATACAATCATATATAATACAAATACATAGAGGGAAAGTTTGGATTGGAAAATTGGATAGTTTTAAAGATGTAAAAAATGTTTATGGGGGGCATTTATGAAAACTGGAGCAGACATAATCTGGAGCAGTTGTCCATGGCAACCAGTCGGCTTCTCTCTTTCATTTTCAAAGCTTAACCGGACAAACTGAAGATAGAAGCTGATTGGCTACAATGGGCAGCTGCTCAAGATTGTCTGCTCCAGTTTTCATAAATTCCCCCCATAAACTTTTTTTACATCTTTAAAACTATCCAATTGACACACAAAATCACTTCAATATGCATATCATTAACATCTCCCATTAAAAAAAAAATTTTGTAATCAGTACATAGTCATGTATGTAAACAATCAATACAACCTCAAAAATGATCTTTAAAGGATATGTTTATTAACAAACATATGTTTCTGTTTAGTAATACAAAATGATTTAATTTAGAATAAGTGTAGCCATCTCCTGCAGAAGCGGATCTTCGCGAAACACGTCGAGCATATAAAATACATCTTCTCATTTAATCCCTGTTAAGAGGAAAAAAGGTTTACGGAATATTGGAGATTATGAGGAGATGCAGCTACATTATATATGATGGGAGATGTTAATGATATGCATATTGAAGTCATTTTGTGTGTCAATTGGATAGTTTTAAAGATGTACATTTTATTTGTGTTCATTATATATGATTTTATGAATCAGTCTTTGGGGTACTTAAAAAGTCCTATTACAACGTTTTGAACTTTTTGCGAATTAAAAAATAATAATATCCTGGCTTTTCATTAGACCAGAGTTTATTTTATTTTATTTTATTTTTTTAACAGCACATATATATCATTTTAGTTTTATTCAGATGTTCATTTGTGCCTAGACATGCTGCAATTGTACCCTCAATCCTGTTGTTTTTATAGAAGGCATCATCTCTGTACATGAAAAAGGGGCATATGATGCCCAATGCTGAGAACACAAACCAATATTTTCTTGTGCCTGCATATTGTACAACATCCTCTGATGTATCGCTGTCTTTTATTTATTTTTTGTCAAACATGTACAATGTTTTAGAATTCATTTTA